TAAAATAATTTTTTATGTTGAAACAATGCAAAAACTTACAAATAAATTCAAGGTATCATATAAATAACTTTTCTGAACTGCTTGACAGTAAATTCAGAACTGATGCACCAACATTTCCCAATACTTTAGTGTGTATTTCCTATAAATCAGAACATTTTCTTAACAAACCAAACACAATCATCCAAATCAGGAAATTATCATTGATACATTGTTGCTATTTAATTCTCAGACCCCTATGCAAATTTTGCCCTTGTTTTGCCAAGAGTCCCAATAGTGTTGTTTTGTTTTTAATAACAAAAGCACCAATTCAGAGTCACTGCTTTTAGTTATAATGTCTCTTTACTCTTCTTCAGTCTGAAACATTCTCTGAGTCTTCTCTTGACTTTCATGATCTAGTGTCTAGTTTCAATTTATACTTATAATTCAATTTGTAATTTTTCTTAGAGGATGTCCAAATAAGGTACAATGTTTCTGCACCTTCTGTGAATATATGAGGGTCTTTAGGCATTCACAGTAGTTTCTGAACCTTTGTTTTTAGGTGGAGGAAATACTTAATAAATACAATGGTGCTCAAGGAATAAAGTCATGTAAATAACAGATGCATCACTTATTAGTTTACAAGCATATATATCCTAGTAGTTTCAAAGCATCATTCATGCTTGTACTAGGGCAAGTTTTATTTTCAATTTTTCCCTAATGAGTTTTTTCTATGGAGAGTCCAAAAATTGTCATAGAAGATTGTGAAATAGAATGATTATTTTAACAACTCCAAGGAAAATTTGCTCAAAAAATATTATCTTTTGAGTGAATATACTAGAAGCAGTTACACAATTAAAATAATCCATTCAACAAATTTGATCCTTTAATATTGAGAGGGTCCCCTTTTTCATGCTCTGTCATAGTATACTAGGTATTTTGGTATGGATTATCTTACATAAATGCCAAATAATGTGCTTCTAGGTAAAAATTAAAATGTGAAAATCCACAATGGGCCATGAATATATTGAAAATAGAGACAATTTGGCTTTTACAATTAATACGCGTCTGGATCCCATAGCTTTTGTCAGCTTCACAGAGGAGTCCAAGATCTAAAAGTTGTCCCTACTTCAGACATCATTTCTCTAACCTGAATCTCTTCCTCCAACAACTCTTAAAGATTCTTATCCACCAAATTCATTCATTTTTCCTTTTCTGGATTTGTTCACCAAGGTTTACTTATTTATTGATATTGCCCCAGCAATTCTACTGGAACATGTTTGAAATATTCCTCTCTTAGTTGCTGTATTATGACCGTAGACCAAGGAATCACACTTTATGCCTTGTTTACTCAAGTGGCAGGGCAAAATAAAATTAATATTGGCTTAAATCATGTTTCCTTTTCTTCAAACTATTTCATATTTTTATCATTATCACAGACACATTTATACAACATCATGTTTTAGCTCAAGCTGAAACAGTCATAGTCATAATAAATTATCAATGGATAGGCCATATTTTAACTTTAAGGTTTTAGAAAAACTCTCATAAAATGGAAAATTTTTGTCTAAAGATAAAACTCACCATTACTAGTGACCACTTGTATGCTGTTAAATTACTTTCATGGAAATGGCTCCTAAACTTCATTTAAAATAATTGTCAATTCTTGTTTTTATCTTGACAGATGTTTCTTAGCTAAATGTATCACTTTTTAATGACAAAATAAAAAAATAACATACTACTTTTGGATATTCTTTAGTTGTTATAAATATTAATGTCTTAATTTGAAATTATTTTCTTCCCTTGTCATGCCTTGCCTGTTATATGTAACTTGAAACCACCTGAAGTTGTGAGTGTGTGTGTGGGTATGTGTGTGTGTAGGTTTAAAATTCAAGGCTCACCTATCAGCCATTGAGACCTCATTAACCATTTATCCTTTTTTGCTTTCTTGATGCTCATCAAAGATTCATTTTAATATTTGGTATCTCATATAATTTTCTATGGGAAAATATACAAGTGACACAAAATGTCCAGGTCATATGACAGATATTTCTCTCTGTGAATCTATATGTCAGCTTTCTTGTTTATTCATTAAGTGCTGCCTATGCACTGGGCACTGGTTTAGGCACTGGAGATTCAGCAGTGACAAAACAGAAAAAAACCTTTTTTTTAATAGAACTTAATGTTCTCCTGAGGAGATCATTTCCAAGCAAACAGAGTCAATACAGTTCAGAGAACGATAAGTGAGAAAATCAAATGTAATAGTGAGATGATATAAAGGCAATGAGGGAGCAACATTATATGATGTGATCAGGGAAAGCCTCTGAGGAGGCACCATTTGAATAAAGATAGGAATCCTAAGAAAGATCTAACCTGCAAAGATTTGAGTTAAGAGAATTCCAAAGAAAATAGCTTGAGCAAAAGCTCCAAAATGGGAACATACTCATTTTTGAACTACTCTTCAAAAATGTAATTAAGAAGATAATTCTGCTATGAGGAAAAATTTTATCATAGAATTTAAAGTTGTTTTCTTTATGGTACATCTAGTTTTTTTCTAGGTGTTCAATGTCCTCGAGTATTACACATAATCAGAACTGACTGTGTCAATGATTTTTCAGCAAATGTGTACCTGAGGAATTTAATTTTCTCACTCATTGATATATCTAGAAGGGTGATTATAAAGAAACAGTGTGAAAAGATTTATAATGCTAAATTCTAATTAATAATAGAATTTGTTCTAGAATCAGTTTACTTTAAAAAGTCATATTTTAATTCTCTATATTTATACAATTTTACACCTTGTTAGGCATGTGAACTTTAAGACAAAAAGAAGAAAAAAGTCACTGAGGACCTGCTAAAGACCCGGCATCATGCTTGCGTCCATGAAGATATCATGAGCTATCTGTTCTTGCAGTAATTATTTAAAAATTAACTTTCTTCCTAAAACTAAATCTCTTCATTTATTTTCATTGGAAGTGCAAAATAAAAGACAGTAGAAAGTTCTCACATATCTCTCCATTAGAGGCCTAGATTGGTGATCAGAAAGCCCTATGGATAAGGCATACTGAAAGCACAGTTTACTTTTTTTCAAGACAGAACTTTTTGCAACTTTAATTTCTGTAGACATCAAAATAGGATAAAGTTCTCCATATATTATGCATGTCCTTGGTTCTGTTGATTTTTGTCTATAAAGTAAAAATTAAGCACACTAGATTGAAAATAACTGAAGATATTTTAAATGTAAAAACTGTAATAGCTATACTAATGGTACAAATGCTAACAGTCCACCAAGAAGACCCCGTTTCATTTCTGCATATCTTTACACTTTTTAAATGACAAAGTTAAATGCCTATTATTCTACATGCTTGAATTTTGTTTGATACTGATACACAGCCTCACAGTCTACAGAATACCCATGTTCCAATTATGAGCATTGTTATCCACTACTCTGTAATGTCCACTCACCTACCTCATATAAAGACTGTATTAACAATCTATGGTCAAGCTTTAATTTATATTTAAAATGTATATTTAAAAAATATATATTTGAAAACCAGTGTCAGATTTATTTGTTATTTTACATCAAAATTGTTATTTAAGAGCAGAAGGGAAAGGAGTCCTTTCTACACCATCAATATTTTCTCCTTAACTCAAATGTTTATATTTAGAGGAAGGAGACAACTGCTGTTTCACCATAATTTAGCTTGTATTTAGCCTTGTTTCCACTCTACTTTAAATGTAGACATTGAAAATATGGGGGATAGAAATGAATTTTCAGTAGATTAATGCTGAATAAGTAATAATTACATTCACATTTCTATTTGTGCCCACAACATGGAAGAGGTGCCTTCCATTAGACCTATGTATGCTTTGGCTTAGAGAAAAATCACTCAAAAATGCAGGGTGTCTAGATATAGAGACATCTCCTACTTTTCATGTTCTCCCCTTGTCTACCACTTATGGAGAAATGAATAGATGTTTAATCTCTATGTATATATTTAAATGAAATTCATATAATTATTGGAAGTTTTATATTGTACTCATAGAATTTTCATACATATTTATGTATCAAAATGTATTTGAGATTGTTTTATTGATATGTTGTCTGAAAAAAAATCAATGAAATTCAGTGTAGTTTGCATAGAGAAAGAATATAAAATGAGGAAAATAAGTTTTGATTCACCAGATGAAATGTCACTAAATCCGGCTAATATGCTTGAAGAATTAATCACCGTACTCAATATTTTTCTGCAATACTGCAGGAGGGTTAAAACAGCAAGATAGTACTTTCAATATTTTAACTGTAACATATACAAATCATAATAATTTATGAGTTAAAAAAAATCCCCACTTTAAATAAATTTTGACTTTCAAAAATATTTTTTATATATAGCACACATTCTATTATTAGATATAAATAAGGCAAAACAGGATGGAACAAATAATTCTATTAAACATTGTATAAAATTTTGGTGGTTGTTTTATGTAAAAATATTCCATTTTTAATTAAACCATATTTTACATAGACTATTATGTACAGGTACAGTTTGAAAAATGTATAAATACAAATTTTCTGCCAAGTCATTATAGGATCTCCTGAAAAACTTAAATCATTTTTATGAAGTATCCTTGTATACTTTTTATTTAAAACCTGAAAACTATCACAATCCATAAATTAGCTTGAAAAGTTAAGCATTTGAAACTGGTGATTGTTCGAGGGTCATAGAAATGTCAGCTTCATAGATTTCAAGGTAGTAACTTCCTGGTATGTATATTCAGCTATGACAAGAATCTTAAATGGATTCTTCCCATTTTTACTTGTAAGTATACAATTTCATAAGGCAGGATACATTCTTACTTAATATAAATCTCTTATAGTATACTGTACTTTTCAACCTCTAGAAAAATACTGTAGAAAAATTAACTCAATCATAATAACAAAACATAGCTAAAATAAAAATAGTCCTTTTTCTTCCTACTAGTGAAAATCACAATTAAAATTTCAAAAATACTCAGTCACTTACTTTGGTAGAGTTTTCAAGTGATTTTCTCTTAACTCCAATATCCGCAATTTGGCAAGTCTGTAGAAATGAATTTAAAAATTTGTTTCTTGATAGTTCTCTATAAAAAAATATTTTTATGGTAAACCAAATTGTTACTGTGTTAACCAAACAACTATGTCCAAACATTAAAAACCATGGTTATATATCTTTAAGAATTATGCAAATTGATTATGAGTAGGGTTGTATCAATATTGGAGAATGATAAATACCACTTTCTTAAACTTTCCTAAAAATAAAATCTTTCAAAGATATCACTGTCTTAGTCATCTAAATTTTCTGTTTTATAAAAATACATTCACTGTTGTTTAATCATATGCATTCAAATTATTGAATATTTACTAAATACTAAGTGCTAAGTTCACAGAAACATGGTAATAATTTCCCTCAAGAGATGACAAATGAATTTTTAAGGCAAATGATAAAGCATAGTGGTTAAAAACTTGAGCTTTGTGATCAGATATATCTGGGTGAAATCCGGACTCTTTATATTCTATCCCTATAACACTGGGCAAATTAATTAACCCCTCCTGACTCCAGTTTCTTCATTTGTAATGAGTATGCAATAATAGTACAAAATTTATGGTTTTGACTGTTAAATGATGCCATCATACATGTAAAACATAACACTTGGCACATTGTAAGTTTTAGTGAGTGTTACTTATGACTGTGGAGCCCTAAACCAAGGTCATAGTTGTCGAGTCTTGTTACCAAGGCCACAGATCTGGAACTTCGTACCAAGGTTATCTGCAGAATTGACTGAGCTCCAGTTCCAGATACTGACTGTTGCTATGAGCTCTGTTGATCTAAACTGGCTAACTCCTTGACCCCACATTAGGTAAAAATATCTGCCTTCACACTCACCCTATAGCACCCTAACCAATCACCTAATGCCAGTCTTCCAGCAAGAATTTTGTCTTGAGAGTATAAGAATTGGCTACTAAACCATGAAAGGGGATGGCTCTCCCTTGAGCCAGCTCTCTGTTCTAACAGCATTTCCTGCTCTAGTAAACACTGTTCTACTGTCATCCTGCCTTGTGTCTGGAAATTCTTTTCAACCTGCGCAAAGATCATGACAATTACTACTACCTTTAATTAAAGACTGGGAAAAGCATCATATATATAGCATGATATACCATATTTAATTGACTCTGAGCCTGAGATGTGAACATTTCAAATAGATGCATATTTAAAATCCCGTCGTATCATCTGTGCTGTGATAGTACTGGAGTTGGGAAAAAAATGTGAAGTGGATGAGAGGTGCTTACATTTTCTGATGCCTGCAAAATACTTGGGTGATTAGGAATGCGTTTCACACTTAACTACTTGTTAATGTTTGCAATCTGGGACAGTGTTGTTACTAATGTCTATGTTGGGTTGTGCTTAGTCGTTCAGTCGTGTCTGACTCTCTGTGACCCCGCAGTCTCTAGCCCACCAGGCTCCTCTGTCCATGAGAATTCTTCAGGCAAGAATACTGGAGTGGGTTGCTATGCCTTCCTCCAGGGGATCCTTCCAACCCAGGAATCTAACCACGTGTCCTGCATTGCAAGTGGATTCTTTACCAGCTGAACCACAAGGGAAGCCTACTAATGTCTATAGTGAGTTTTACAATTTACTCAGTTGTGGTTATTTTAGGACAAATATTAATTGACTTGTCCAGATTCTCAGTGTTGTGGGAATATTTCGCTATTTCAACTATTTCACCTACATTGTCCCATATTTACTGTGCTTTTAGGTATTCAACTAGTTCTCTTCCCATTTCCTTTTTGTTTTGAGTTCTATCAAGTCTCCAATTTAACTTTAATCTTATAACTCTTAATCTGTAGTTCAAACAAATTGTCTCAGTTCTTCAGAGCATGGAATATCACTAATAATAGACATTTCTTAAACATTTATATATCTCAAATCTTCTTAGTATCTGTACTAGAGTAATAATATTTTATGACTCTGGCCTTTAGGGGTACTAAATCTTAGGTTTTATAAAGTCTACTAAACATTCTTTGTCAAATTATCCAGCTGAAGGGTAAAAAGCTTTTTAGATTACAATAATAAAATAGAGCATTTTGGGGTAGATAATTTACATAAAATTGAAATCTAATTCCTGGTGGTTTGGGTTTTAGTATTATGTTATATATTTGCCCAGATTTCTTCCCTTATGTTATGACTAGTAAAGAGAACTAACAAAATGCTAAAGTAAACAATGTATTTTAGGGAGATAATTAAACATTTTATGATTTAATAAACCAAAAGTATACTTGTGGTTGTGGCCAGTACCAGAAGGAAAATCTACTTTATATGAACAAATGGTGAAATATTAATTCATTTAGAAACTAGGCATATGCTCTTGTGAATATCTGTGAATTTTCAGAACTGTCTGAGTGTGTATGGTATTCGTAGGTATTATGAAATCATGATCCACAAAAGTAAGAGAATTTGAAAAAAACTTTTGAAGTGATTTCTGTATGCAAATAGAGGCTGCTACCTGTTAAACGACTTCATTATTTCACTGAGTTCTTCTTAATGTATGTATTAACTTCTGCCCAGAGGTGGAGATTGAGGTGTACTCAATTGGTTATTTGAACAATTTGAGATGATCACTTAGAAAAAGGCAGTTAACAAAAAACTTAAAATATCTTAACTTTTAAGATATATCTTTTATGCTTAAAATAGCCATGATATGGAAACAAAGCTTCCATTGACACATGAATGGATACAGAAATCCTGTGTGTGTGTGATGGAATATTACCAGCCATAAAAAGAAGAATATCCTGCCATTTGTAATGACATGGATGGATCTTAAGGGCATTATGCTAAGTGAAATAAGTCGGGCAGGAAAAGACAAATACTCTATGATCTCACATATGAAATCTAAGAAGAAAATAATAACTATAAAAAGAGGTCAGATTTGTGGTTATCAGAGGTGGAGGTAGGGGAAGAGGAAATGGTTGATTGTGGTCAAAAGACACAACCTTATGCTTATAAAATAAATAAGTACTGGAGATGTAATGCATGGCAAGATTGCTATAGCTAATACTGCTATATGGTGTCCAATATATCTCAAAGTAACTAAGAGTAAATTCTAAAAATTTTCATCACAAGGAAATGCTTCTTCATAATTATATAAAGTAATGGATGGTAACTAAATTTAATGTGTTAATCATTTTGTGATAAATTTGTCATTATTATGTTGTATACCTTAAGTTTATACAGTGCTATATATCAATTATATCTCAATAAAGATGAAAAAAAGTTCACTCTAGAACACCTAGAAAATATTGAAATTTAAGATGAAAATAAAAACCTTCCATAATTTCCCTTCAAGGAAATTGTCTTTTATTTCTTGCATATTCATATTCATATAAGAAACACAGTTTATATATAGTTATGATAAGCTTTAAACATAACATCATAGGAATTAAAAGATATGTCTCTAGTCAAGATTATAAATTGCTACATTGTTATATAGATGTACCATAATATGTTCAAGCAATTTCCTAGATGGATGTGTGATTCCATATTTTTCATATTGTAAATAATGATAAACATCTTTGTCCATAAATCCTCATGTGATATATGATGATACATTTCTAGAAGTGTATTACAAAGGCAGTGGTTATAAATATTTTCAAATCTTTTAAAGCACACTGTCCTGTACAGAGCACATGACATTCTGCAATTTCATCAGCAGTGTGAAGTTATCTCTTTCCTCACACTCTAAACAATTTTATAGTTTCTGTGATATGCTTAGAGCACAAAGGGCCTTTATTCACATATTAATTTGTACTATTTTATTATTTATGATGATAAACATTTTTTGAGTTTTCAACTTGTACACTTATTATGAACTGCTTGCACATGTTATTTACCCATTTTTTTCTAATGAGATCTTAACTTTATACTCCTTTGAAAGAATTCTTTATAAGTTAAGGATCTAATTTGCCTTCCATATATGGTAGAAATATTTTCCTATTTATTACCTTAAAATTTAAAATATTTTCTAATATTATTTTATTTTAAAGGCATGTATGGATTCAAATATATCCATTTATGGTATTTTCCTTTTTTTCTATGCTATAAAAGTATTATCTAACCCAAGTGTCAAATTTTTCCACATAATTTCTGATTTTTTTTTTTAATATTTAACTCTTTAACTCATCTGGAATCTGATTATTAATGACATGTAAAGGTTTAATTTTACTTTATTTTTTTCAAAATGTTTCATTAATTGGCATGGGCTCATTTATTGGATAAAAGTGAGGGTATCTTTAATTACAGGGGTCACTTTTGAAGCCTTACCTACTGATGGTGGTTAAGTACTTACCTAAGTGAAATAAAATTGATCATTTAAATTTCTTATTCTTACCTTCCAAAATTGGCTGGAAGAAATTCAAGAAAGGCATCATTCAGGTAGAGCTGGGTCAGATTCAGAAGCTGCGTGAAGCCGTCAGGGAGTCTAGAAAGGAGTTAAAGGTTTAGTCATTGCGTAGATGTTGCCATAGAAACAGAACAAAAATACATATCTCTATGGAGAAAAAATAGAAGTGTAATACATTTTTCAACTCTCCTTTGGTATCACAGTAATGGAAGAATTTATTGAGCATGTTGTTACAGCTTGAAAATTTTGCCTGTTATTAAAATAAATGGCATTCACCCCTCCACACTGCTCTCCTAGGCGGAGATTTATGTCACTGCCAAAGTCAGCGGCATCATTTCTTACTGTTACCCTAGACTTATAAACACCAGTGAGATATTTTTATGGAAATTTCAAGATGTATGCTATCTTTTATAATTTCAAATTTATGATTCCTCTCAATAGAAAATTCACATGTATAGTCAGGCAAGGTTATCTACTCTTTCACTTAATCATTGGAAGTTGTGTGCAGTTTGTGACAATGATGGCTAAAGGTGCCCAGCATGAGAAGGGAAAGAGTGTTTTGTCCCTTAATTGATAATTTCCTTAATGCAGGCCCAACAGATACGTGCATTATAATTCAAACTGACCTGATTCATGCACACTAAAAATGAACAAGAACATTAAAACAATAAACAGAATTCTAAAGACTTTAAAAGTCATTTAAAAGTTGAGAAAATATCCTTTGGGAAAAATCTTATCAGTGAGATAAAGTAATTACTTGAAATGTTTAAATCATTTTTACCAAAATGATTTAACTCAAGGATTTTTCTTAAAAGGATATTGACTTTTTATTAATTTAATTTCTATTTAAATATTTTAATGCCTTTTCCCACACTTTAGACAAGACTATGCTCTTTCACAGAATATTTTTAAACAGTGTCCAAATTTGCCTTCTCCTCAAATTACAACCTATGACCCTCCTTGTATTTACTGACAAAATTATTTAAAAAGCTGCCTTTACTGACTACTTTTTACTACTCCTCAAGCCATTGCTTTCTGTTATCTACTCCAACTCTACTACTGAAACTGCACTCGCCAAAGCCTCTGATGACCTCTAAATCTCAATTTCACTACCTTCATTTTATTTCATAGCCCACACTGCCCAGCAACAGCTGTCGTCAGCAATTGTCCTCTCTTTCTGGGCTTCTGCCATACCACTTTCCCTGCTCTTCTTCCTACTCCTGAACACTAGATCTGAGTTCCATTCCATGGTTTCTCTTTTCTGACCAATCTTTTGTTATGAAATGTTTTATGTATATAAAAGAGTATACGTGTACCCGCAATATAATGTAACAAATAGAACCAGTATCTTTAAAACCCTCTGGCTGTCCCTTCCTGACTACATCTTTCTACTTGCTCCACAAATTCCCAAATGATGGTTTCTTTTCTGTTTCTCAAGGAGTTTTACCATACCTATTTAAATCCCTGAAAAAAAGTCATGTGGTTTTGGTTTTTTTAATATTATCTAAATCAAATCACACTATGAATATTTTTATGGGATTTATAATAATTCACATTATTAAATAATTCATCAGTTAAGTGAAATTCATTCATTTTGATGAAGAAGACTGATCACCATGCCATGGTATTCATTGTATGAATATATCACAATTTATTAATCCTTCTTCATCTAATTGAACATTACAGTTGTTTCTAGTTTTTGTTTGTATTTCTATTATATATTCTATTTATTTTTCAACATATATCCTGGTGTACAAGAGATTACTTAAGCTATATTGCTGGTTAGAAGAGATTAACATCCTTATGACTAGCTCTCACCTAATGATTAGCAGGAGTATAAATACCTCAGCTCTCTCACCCAAATCTGTGATGTGTGTTTAAACTCCTTCCCAGAGATCCCCAGAAAGCTTAAGGTCCAGTGTCCATACTAGTAAATAGCTTGATAACATATCCGTAATTGATATTGCCTGATATCATTTTCTAAATATATTGCTTGAATTCTTTTCTAAACTCTTCTTCTGAGGAACCCAAACTAAACACAATTAATATTTTTTATAGCAATTCAGTAGGAATTGTTTATATGCTATTATGACACTGATCTTACATGGATTATTTTTGCTACAAACATCCTGCTTCACTTTGTATTTTGGAGCTGGATTGTTTGTATATGACCTCTTAGAGGATGCTTCCATAAATATGCTTCCAAAGGGAGGTAGGATTCATAAAAGCAGAAAAGAGGGAAAAAGGAGCTGGGGAAAGTGAGAGCTACAGTGAAGAGGTAAAAATTCACCTGAGATGGGTTACAAAGAGAACACAGGTTCTAGAGAGAATATTTATGAATAAGAGTATTAGTAGTTAATATTTGAGAGTATCAGTAGGGGACAGGCTTTAGAGGATATTTGATGCTTGACTCATAGGCATACACTTTATCTTATAAAAGTAAAAAAAGAATATACTGGAGATATTTATTTTCTCTATGATTTTCTTCCTTAACTACTTTAGAACTCATATTCTGGTAGTATAATAGTCTTCATGAAAATGGCACAGATATTCAACAGATTACAATTCAATTTAACTACTATTTTACTTTGATGTTCTTTTGGTTCCTATAATCATTCAAGAAAAGAAATCATTTATGATTTCTGAAAAAAGGAAGATTAATATGTGTAAAATGAGAAGAATGCTAAAACCTTTGATCTAAAATGTTGTGTTAACATCATTCAGTTCAGTTCAGTTCAGTCGCTCAGTTGTGTCCATAGAAAATACCCTCTTCCAACAACACAAGAAAAGACTCTACACATGGACATCACAGATGGTCAACACCGAAACCAGATTGATTATATTCTTTGCAGCCATAGATGGAGAAGCTCTATACAGTCAGCAAGAGTGGGAGCTGACTATGGCTAAGATCATGAACTCATTGCCAAATTCAGACTGAAGTTGAAGAAAGTGGAGAAAACCACTAGATCATTTAGGTATGACCTAAATCAAATCCCTTATGATTATACAATGGAAGTGAGAAATAGATTTAAGGGACTGGATCTGATAGAGTACCTGATGACTATGGATGGAGGTTTGTGATATTGTACAGGAGACAGGAATCAAGACCATCTCCAAGAAAAAGAAATGCAAAAAAGCAAAATGGCTGTCTGAGGAGGCCTTACAAATAGCTGTGAAATGAAGAGAAGTGAAAAGCAAAGGAGAAAAGGAAAGATATACCCATTTGAATGCAGAGTTCCAAAGAATAGCAAGGAGAGATAAGAAAGCCTTCCTCAGCGATCAATGCAAAGAAATAGAGGAAAACAATAGGATGGGAAAGATGAGAGATCTCTTCAGGAAAATTAGAGATACCAAGGAAACATTTCAGGCAAAGATGGGCTCAATAAAGGACAAAAATGGTATGGACCTAACAAAAGCAGAAGATATTAAGAAGAGGTGGCAAGAATACACAGAAGAACTATACACAAAAGATCTTCATGACCTAGATAATCACGATGGTGTGATCACTCACCTAGAGCCAGACATCCTGGAATGTGAAGTCAAGTGGGCCTTAGGAAGCATCACTACGAACAAAGCTAGTGGAGGTGATGGAATTCCAGTTGAGCTATTTCAAATCCTGAAAGATGATGCTGTGAAAGTGCTGCACTCAATATGCCAGCAAATTTGGAAAACTCAGCAGTGGCCACAGGACTGGAAAAGGTCAGTTTTCATTCCAATCCCAAAGAAAGGCAATGCCAAAGAATGCTCAAACTACCACACAATTGCACTCATCTCACACGCTAGTAAAGTAATGCTCAAAATTCTCCAAGCCAGGCTTCAGCAATACGTGAACCGTGAACTTCCAGATGTTCAAGCTGGTTTTAGAAAAGGCAGAGGAACCAGAGATCAAATTGCCAACATCCGCTGGATCATCGAAAAAGCAAGAGAGTTCCAGAAAAACATCTATTTCTGCTTTATTGACTATGCCAAAGCCTTTGACTGTGTGGATCACAATAAACTGTGGAAAATTCTGAAAGAGATGGGAATACCAGACCACCTGACCTGCCTCTTGAGAAACCTGTATGCAGGTCAGGAAGCAACAGTTAGAACTGGACATGGAACAACAGACTGGTTCCAAATAGGAAAAGGAGTACGTCAAGGCTGTATATTGTCACCCTGCTTATTTAACTTATATGCAGAGTACATCATGAGAAATGCTGGGCTGGAAGAAGCACAAGCTGGAATCAAGATTGCCAGGAGAAATATCAATAACCTCAGATATGCAGATGACACCACCTTTATGGAAGAAAGAGAGGAACTAAAGAGCCTCTTGATGAAAGTGAAAGAGGAGAGTGAAAAAGTTGGCTTAAAGCTCAACATTCAGAAAACTAAGATCATGGTGTCTGGTCCCATCACTTCATGGAAAATAGATGGGGAAAGAGTGAAAACAGTGACTGACTTTATTTTTCTGGGCTCCAAAATCACTGCAGATGGTGACTGAAGCCATGAAATTAAAAGACGCTTACTCCTTGGAAGGAAAGTTATGACCAATCTAGATAGCATATTAAAAAGCAGAGACATTAGTTTGCCAACAAAGGCCCACCTAGTCAAGGCTATGGTTTTTCCAGTATGGATGTGAGAGTTGGACTATAAAGAAAGCTGAGCGCTGAAGAATTGATGCTTTTGAACTGTGGTGTTGGAGAAGACTCTTGACAGTCCCTTGGACTGCAAGGAGATCTAACCATTCCATCCTAAAGGAAATCAGTCCTGGGTGTTTATCGGAAGGACTGATGTTGAAGCTGAAACGCCAATACTTTGGCCACTTGATGCGAAGAGCTGAGTCATTTGAAAAGGCCCTGATGCTGGAAAAGATTGAGGATGGGAGAGGAAGGGGACAACAGAGGATGAGATGATTGGAAGGCATCACCAACTCGATGGACATGTGTTTGGGTGGACTCCAGGAGTTGGTGATAGACAGGGAGGCCTGGCGTGCTGTGGTTCAAACATCATAACTATTAGTAAATAAAATTCCTTAAAAATACTAATTTTTTAATTATAAGGATAGCTTGAACTACCCATCTTACCTTAGTCTATTATTT